ACGCTCATAGTGATGGTGGAGGGGAGCAGGCAACCTGCTCCAATGGCAGAGATGACCGTGAGCATGCCCTTGGCTGGCTCCATTCCCCTGTCCAACATCCAAACAGTCAGAAGGCCACTGCTACTACTGTTCTGTGAACAACTGGACCTTGACCAAAGAGGCCCTGCAGACACAGCAGAGTGAGTGGCTAGAGCTCCCCTGCAAAATGTGTCCCTGCCTGGGGACCTCCCTGGGTGGATCAATGTGCTTACATCGCAAGTGGCAGGGACTTGGTTTCACAGCAGCCGTGTGGGTCAGCCCTCAGCTGCCTCCCTGACCACCCCCATCCCTCTGTCTGGGGATCCCCCCGAGCCCAGACTACTCGAGTGCTCTTCAGGCTTCTCACCGCCTGATACGGTTTGGCTCTGTGTTCCCTAAATGTCAAATTGTAATTCCCAGTGTTGAGGCAGGGGCCTGGTGGGAGATGATTGGCTCATGGGGGCAAACTTCCCCCTTGTTCTCGTGATGGGGAGTTCTCATGAGATCTGGTTGTTTAAAAGTGTGTGGCACCTCCCCCCTTACACTCTCTCTCTCTCCTGCCACCATGTGAGGAAGGTGCCTGCTTCCCCTTTGCCATCTGCCATGATCGTAAGTGTCCTGAGGCCTCCCAGCCATGCTTCCTGTTAAGCCTGTGAAACTGTGAGTCAATTACACCTCTTCTCTTTATAAATTACCCACTCTCAGTTAGTCCATTTTAGCAGTGTGAATACAGATGAATACATTACCTTTCAAGCAAGTTTTCTAGACAGAATAGTGAATGAAATAATATGAGCATTTTATATCATAGACAAAAGCATGTACTTCCTTTTAGCTCTGGACTGGGCAACTAGTCCCCTCAGCAAAGACTCATCTTTCTGCATTTGCAAAGAAAACGTGTCCAACTCCAGGTCTGGGGATGAGGACAAATCAGCTGGTACATGGTGGAGAAACCCTGTCACAGTGGAGTGAGATAGTCTTGGGGGCAGGAGTGTGTGTCTCACCAGACGGAGCCCCCTTGCTCCTGACTTCTTGCCACACTCTGCATCTGCTGCAGCCAAGCAGAGGGTGACACCTGCAGTGGGAAGAGCTCACTGCAGGCTCATGAACAGAGGCTGGTGGTGCATCAAGGTAAATGGTATGAAAACATGGACTGAGAAAGCCTGAAGAGGAACACAATTTAAGTACACATATTTGAGCCTGGCTCTCCATTGCAGCCAGCAGCTAATAACACTTGTGAACAGGAGAAGTCAGTTCAAACACATCAGTGATGACGGCTGACAAAAGAAGGGTAAGCAGGACCCTATCCAATGTGGCCAATGGTTTCCTCATAGGGGAGCCGTGGCTAAGAGCAGCTTCACAATGTAGCAGTGGGTAGTGGTACATTTGATGAACTGATGGCCTGGGAGTTCCTTGCAGAGGAGAAAAAAAAAATCAACAGAAGGTAGTGCTAGATATAATTCCTTTATTATCATTATCATGCCCCCTAGCACACAAAGCTGGGCTTCCACTGAGATCAGCTAAGGACAGGGGTATGTTTACAAGGAGAACAATTTCTCTGTAGGCACTAGGTTAGGCATCGTCTCTGTTTCTAGGATACTGTGATGACCCATGTCCATGGGAGAGCTGGTTCCAGGAGCCCATCTGGCCTCACCAACATCAGGCTACCTGGAATGAGGCCTGGCACTTACACAGGGTAGGGCATGGGGAGCAGGCCTCTGGTTTCTAAGCAGGGCTGGGCACAGCTGAAATAGGGGTAGGGAGCAGCCAAAATGCAGCAGGTTCTCCCAAGGCACATAGAAGGTGGTGGGAAAATCGGGCTGGGATGTGTAACTTGTCCCCTTCCAGGAAGGGACCCAGGCACCTGGTCTCCTGGCCAAGATCACAGACCATCTGAGAGTCCTCCAGGAAGAGCAGTGCCTGAACAGATGCACTGCAGAGAGGCTTTCCTGGCAGGTGGTGAGCTGATCATGGTGACGCGCTTCACTCCCAACCCCCAGGGGTGGAGTGAGTTGGGAATCTCAGCTGCTGCAGGTGGAGCTCAGCTGTAGAACCCAAGGGACTTGTGAACCCTGAGCGCTGTGACATACAAAGGAGGGTGGCTGCATCTTCCTTTGGGGTTTGGTCTAAAGCAGCGGTTCTCAAAATGTGGTTCCAGGGCCATCAGCTGCAGCTCCAGGGAACTTGTTAGAAATACAAATGTTGGCCCTGCCCCTCCTGATGAGAAACTCTGGGGGTAGGGCCAGCAATCTGTTTTGAAAAGCCCTTCCAGGTGATTCTGATGCTCAGCCAAGTTTGAGAATGACTGGTTTAGACGCTTGGTCACTATACCCTCAGCGGATGTGAGCCCGGCACAGCAGCCATGCAAAAGACTCAGGCCCAGGGTGGCCAGTACATCAAGAATGTTTTCTAAGTGGTGGCAGGGTGGGCGGTGATGACAATGGCTGTTCCAACTCACGTCTCCAGCCTCAAGACCCTGAAGCGGGGCCCAAGTAGCAGATTCTGAAACCAAAGCTGGAGCAGGAGGGCCCCGAGCCACATCACAGTGAACTCCCATATTCCCCCCACACCCCGCAGGGCCATGCTGGGCCCTCTGGCTGTGCACAGCGCAAGCTCCCCAACAGAAATCACATAGGGTCCACCCCAGAGCCCCAGCAACAGCAGGTGCTCCATGCAGGGGTTAGAAATAAGGCAGAGAAGGGCCTCACCTGAAGGGAGGTGGTCAACACACCCTCAGCATGCCCCTCCCTGCCCAGGGTGGCTCTGGGAGTGGGTGTGGCCTGAGGGGAGATCTCCACATGGACATGACAGTCCACACCCTGCACGAATGTTCTGAGGGTTGAGGGACAGTCCCTGCTCTCACTTTGGGGTCATTGTTGGCACCTGGAGTGATGGGCTGGGTGGCTGTTATGGGCCTTGGCCCCTTGGGCTCCTGCCCGCTGCCTGAGCCCCTGCACCTGGGGGCCCAGCTGTCAGCCTGAATGAGCCAGGCTTCCGAACCCTTGGCACATGTGAAGGAGTTATGGTGGTGGCTGCTATGTGACAGTGCCCCCTGAGTGACACTTTGTTCCTTAATGACAGCCCAATGGCTCATTACAGAGATGGAAAACTGTGGGACACTGAGGAGAGGGGCTCCTGGCCCAGCTTTCCTTCCTTCTCCGGGGGTGGCAAGACAACAGCCATTACCACTGACAAGTCTTAACTTTGCCCAGACTTAATTTCCTCATTTATAAAATGGGAGAAGTCACCCTCTTATTGGGGTAACTGCAAGATAAGTATGGTGACAGATTCTAAGTGCACAGCAGGCCCTTGATAAACACAAAAAATCCCCGGACACGCTCCCCACTTATCTGCCTGAGGGGCTCCTGGAGATGGGGTTAGCGTGCCGGGGAAGCAGGAGGGAAAAAGAGAATGGGCACACACGTCCCATCCCTTCAGCCAAGGCCGCGTTTCCTTCCTGCCTCCCATCCTGATGCAGGTCACCCGGGGGGACCTGTGGACATGCCCTTATCTCTTGGCGTCTGCCCCTGCGAGCTTAGGAAAGGGCAGCATGATGTGTGCAGGGCAAGGACGTGCCTGTGCCAGCTGGGTGGCATCCCAGCACCTAATGCTGCTTTCCTGGGGCCCGGTGTGCAGCAGCCTTTCGCCTGCAGAGGACTGATGGTGACGTTCCACAGGCATGTCTTCTCTCTCTCAAGACTGCCAGCCTCCAAGCAGGGGCGTGGGAGGAACTGACCTGGGCCCCTATCTGTGCCCTCGTCAGCAGGAGGGGCACACCCTGCTGGGGGCTGCATCCTTGAGTCCAGGCTCCAGCTGCTGTGCACTCCCAGGCAGAACCTGCCCTATCCTGGGCCTCCATTTCCTCTAACCTTGTCTCATCCCCCAGGCTGTTGGCATGGACGAGGTGGTCAGATTTCCAAGAAGCCCTGGGTGGTTCTGCCACTGTTTGCAGCTTGGACCAGCCATCCTCCAAGTGGCAGTCTGGCTGGATGACACAAGGCAGGAAGCAGCTAATCCTGCCCCAGTCAGGCTGGCCCAACCATCACATGGGGCTGGGGCAGATGGGGCAGCTCTCCTGGGCCTGCCCTCAGTGACAGGGCTGTGCACAGGGCACTTGCCTGCCACCTGTCTCTCTTCCCCACCGTGGCAGACAGATAAGGCCCCAGCACCCCCTGCTCATGGCTGCCTCCCCTGACACCCCACCAGGAAGAACATGGCTCTAGCCCAGTACCGTCTCTCTCTCTCTCTCCACTCTCCCTCTGTAATAAGACTTATCTGTTGTGATCTAGCCCTTCAGAGAGCTTGGGAGTCACAGTTGATTTTTGATTACCTGCACGACTCCCAGGAGGTGGGAGGGCGGCAAAGCTAATCACGCACTACGCCACTTCGCTTGGCCTCCTGCAGTCTGGGGTATCTGGTCTTCCTTTTAATGAATTTGCATCAGCAACTCCAGGGTCTTTTAGGCAGGGGAGTTAAACCAGCCTAGACTCCAAGAAGCCACTGGAGAATACCCAGAGAAGAGGAGGCAACTGGCCCTGCGGCTGGGCTTCCCTCTGTCCATGTGGGTACTTCCTATGCTAAGGATGCAGTTCAGGGCCCTGTTGCAGTCAGCACTGGGTGGCCTTGAGGCCAATCCTATGTATGCGAGAGAGAGCACCCCTCCCCCAGGATTGGCCTAGGTCAGCAACGTGCTCATCACGGTGTGAGCTGGATCATGTAGGGAGACGAGCTGGGGTCTCTCTCCGCCTCGGTGGTAGCACAACAAGGTGGCTCCCGTCGTAGGGGGGATGAAAGAGGGTCCTGCCCTGGGAAGAAGTGCAGGACCTGGGGAGGGTGGAAGCCAGGCAAGGGGTTTTAGTGTAATGGGCTGCCCCCTTGTAACAGCCATTTTGGGGGGATCCCTATGGGTGTTGTACAAGTTGACACCTGTTCTCTGGAAAACTTCCAGCATGGATACTCTGTATTTTCCAGGGTTTGCTTTCTGCTCTCCCTTAGCACTGGGGAACGTTCTTACTGAAAAATTCCCTGCTGAATTTAGTGATGCAAGAGAGAACCCAAGACAAAAGCTCTGTTCACTCCAGGACGGGTGGGAGGGGAAGCAGAGTGCTGGTGGCCACAGGGTAAGGAGAGGGCCCCAGGAAAGGTGAGGCTCAGGCAGACACCCCTCTACTCAGAGCTGCCCTTTCTCAGTGGCTGCGACTTTAAAGGGTCGTGAGTTGGTCCACTCCAGGAAATGCTTGACACCCACCAGCATTAGGTGCTGAAGATGGTTTAAAAACCTGATGTTCCTGAGAATCAGGCCCTGGAACAGGAGATCCCTCTGGGGGGCATGTCCCTAGAGGTCAGGGCTTGGGGCCAGGGTCTCCCCAAGGGGATTCTCCCAGGAAGGTTGCTAGGCAGGCACGGGGCTCTGCTCCTATTGCAGCATGTGCTGGTGTGGCCACCTTACCCCCGCTCCCTGCCAGAGCAACTCCACCCAGCCTGTGGCTGCCCTACCCAGGCCTCCCCACTCCCAGGCCCTGCAGGAAAGAGTGAGGCCAGCAGGACATGGCTTTCCAGGTGAGGCAGTGTGGACAGTGGGCAGGTCAAAGAGCAAGGTCTTCTGGAGGAAACACCAGCCCTCCCTACCCCACCCCATGCATCTTCCAGAATCAGCAAGGTCAGGGCTTTTGAGCATGGGTGGGGGAATCCAGTGCTGAAAACCTGGGAGACCTGGGTTTTCTGCCCATTGTTCCCGGTTCAAGAGCTGGGAGGGAGCAAAGAGCCCAACTGTCAACCTTCCCTAGTCCACAGTGTCCCTGTGCCTGGTGCGGAGCTCTGGTTGTCTCCTGAAAGGATCATTTCCCTGCCCAGGATCTGGCCATGGGAGCTCAGAAGTGGAGGAGAGGGGTCCGAGGGTCCCTGCCTGGGTGGGCACAGTAGAAGCTATGGTCTTAGGCACTTGGTGGATTTGTAGATGCTGGGCACAGAGGAGGGGGCATCTATGGCCCTAGTGGAGCTGGTGCTAACTCTGCAGGCGGATGGCATGCGGCCACCTGTCCTCCTGTAGGGCAGTTGGAAGAGGAGGTGGTTGGCCATCAGTAAAAATGCCGCTGGAGCCTTCGGTGCAAGCAGCAGGTGAGAACCATCCCGCAGATCTGCCGGGTGGAGAGAGTAGAGGAGCAAAGATAAATCAGAACTCCTGGAAGCTGCTGGCCTTCAGGGCCCTGGAGCAGTGCTGCTCGCTCAAATCCCTGGGGCCTGGACAAAGGGCAGATTCCTGCTCAAAGGGCTGGGCCTGAGGTTCTGCATTTCTGACAAGCTCCTGGGTGATGGCGATGGGCGTGGGGGAACCACAATCTGCCAGGTACTCTCCAAGAGCAGGGCTTCCACCCTTTCATGGGCATGTGTCACCTGGGGACCTCCTTATTCCAAGTCTGCAGGCCTGGGTGGCGGCCTGAGAGTCTGCATTCCTAGCAAGCTCCCAGTTGCTGCTGCTGGTCTGTGGTCCTCCATCTTCTCCAGAGATGGCCTGATTTAATTAGACCCTAAGAGTAACGTCTACACTCCCTCATCAGAACTGTCTGAAGCAGACTGTCTCTCTAGGAAAGAGTCTGCCTGTGTTTTGCTGTTTTTGGACTCCAAAGATAAACTCAGGTCCATCCTTGATGCTTTGGTTGGTGTACGGGAGCCATGGGGGAAACTGAGACTCTGGGAGGAGCCCCTTGAGCTGTCACCCGGTCTGTCAGTGTAGAATGATAGAGCTGGCGAGCTCACCCTGTCAATCAGCCTAGAATGCAGCAAAACGCCCAGGCCCCGAGAGTCCTGTCTGCCAGCCCTTCTGTTGGTATCCACAGGCTGAACAAGGAGGGGCTGGAGCATCCAGTCCAAAGCATATGCAGGCCTGGGAGGATCACCCCACATACCCCTTTTCACTTTTTCCACTTCCAGAACGCAGAGGAGCTTTGTTCTCTCACCTTGCCCTTCATGGGCTCTCCTCTGCCACCTTCCTCCTCTTCCTCTCCTCCCTCCCACCCAAGGATGCATTGAGGGTGATGTGATTATGATCCTGCTGATGACGATGACATGGTTTTGGATCTCGGCTGTCTGCACACAGGAGAAGGGCACTGGCCTAGAGCAGCCTCATGACTGTCTGTGGTACCTGGGGTGAAGGTGGCTCTCCTAAGTATTGAGGCAGTTTCCTGTCTTTCCTAGCAGCTGCTGCTACCCTGACCTTGTCGGTGCAAACTTGGATGCAGTTGGAGCTCTACCTAGCAGGAGGCGAGCAGGCTGGTGTAGTTGTGTGTGTCCGGTACCCAGCCTCTGACAGGCTAGCTGGGAGAGGAAGTGCAGAAGGGGCCTATCCTCTTCCCCGCCTTCCTCCTCTCTGTCCCTCCCAACCTGGAGGACAGCACGGGGCATGAACACTGCTTTCAGCCTGCAGACATGGTGTCAATTCACCTGGGGCCTCAGGCTGAAAGGCGGCTTAGGTTTTCTCATCGCCCACCAGCTTTAAGTGGGCGGCGGTCATGCCGTTCCACCCATGCAGGTGTGGTGCAGCGCGTTCTCTTTCCCTGTCCCTGCCTCATGGTTTGATGATTTTCCTGTGGGGCTTTCTGAATCTAATCTGTGCTAAGCGGGAGGCCAGAGGGGGCTGTTTCGCCGGCACAGATTTATGCTGGAAACCACGTCTGTACCACCTGCAATGTACGTCTCCTGCTGGGGGAGGGAAGGGCCAAGCTCGCCGGCAGACAGGCTCCTGCATGAGCTGGGTGTTCCCAGGGAGCCTCCCAGGACAGGCACAGTAAGGGGGAGAGGTGAGTGGGCCAGACCCTCATCACTGTGTCCACATGCACACCCCCATGCAGAAACATGTGGAGGGATACGGGATGCCACCCAGTGTGGTTCCAGAATAAGCGCTGTCTCCCTCCTGACAGAGGACACTGAGAAACCAGCACGGGTGGCTCCAGCAGGGGGCACACAGAGACAACACAACGCCAGCTAACTGCAGGTGCTGAAGGTGGCAGACGGGGCAGGGGTAGGCTTGTGGGTCCAGCCGGCACGGTGTCAGGTGCTGTCTTCTGGCAGCTGCCTGTGTGTGGCACTTGGCCACACATAGGACATTTTTAACAGGGAGGCCGTGTGCCTTCAGCTTCCTCTGACGCTTCTGACAGCACCTGGCTGTCAGCAGAGAGCATGAAGGGAGGGCCAGGGAGCTTCTGGGGAGTCCTTCCAAGATGATTGCTTGGTTTGCCTTTTAATGACCTGCAGGCCCCAGTCTTGACTATCTTGTGAGTATTCTATGCTCTGAGACTGTTTCCATCTTGCAAGGTGAGCATGTTGGAGGTGGGCTGAGTTCTATTCGATGCTGCACCAATGGCCTATGTGAGCTTGGGTACAGTTATCTCTCTCTCAGCCTCAAACCCCCCTCCGCCGATAGGAAAACATCTGGTTTCTACACTGGTCTAGGGTGTTCCTTGGTGAGATTCTTTAAAAATTAGAATAACAGGTACCAACAGCACAGCACCCAGTCCTTCCAGCATCCCAGTCCTTTGAGAGGCCAGGCAGTGGCTTCCTGGGGCCCTCAGGATAAAGCCCCCGCTCCTCGCCTTGCCTGCAAGCCGGGGCTTGCACATGCTATTCTCTCACCCTGGCTTTCCCCTCTGTCACTTCCTATTGGGCTCCTTCAGGACTGAATGAGATGGCACTTCCTCCAGGAAGCCCTCCCTGACCTCCCGTGACTGGCTAGGGCCACTGATGCTTGCTTCCTAAACCCCAGCGCTCCTGCTAACACCTAGCACTGCACTGTGACTGCCACACACTTATCTGTCCCCTTCCTTCAAGCAAAAGCTCCCTGGGAGAAGGGATGGCACCCTGCCTGCAATGGGGCCCCAGCACCTAGCACATGGCAGCTCTGCTCCAGAGTAAACACGAGCATGGGCCCCTCAGCCTCCTCTGCAGGCTGTGGGCGGAGGCTCCCAGGACGCTGATATGAGGAGGGCAGCAGGAAAAGGGCTGGGCTACTGTGACATTTTTAGTAAAATATTCCCCAGCTAGAATATTCTAGAAATTAGCTTCTAAAGTTACCTCAAAGTGGAGTGCCCCCAGAGTCCACCCACAAGAGAGGAAGCTGGTGTGGAGGAAGCAGGCCTGTGAGCTGGAGGCCTGGCCACTCTGCCACAGCAGCTGTGTCACCTTCAGCAGGTGACTTGTGGTAGGGCTTGATGTCCTCAAATGTGTATGAATAAGATGAGCCCAGGGACTCTGAACCCCAAATGCACATTTGACCCACCTAGGAGGTTTAAAAATACGTGTGCACAGACCTCAGCCCAGACAATCTGAGCCAGTTTGTGGGGGGCCGGAGCAATGGGTTTTTTTGGTTTTTTTTTTTTGAGATGGAGTCTTGCTCTGTCACCCAGGCTGGAGTGCAGGGGCACGATCTTGGCTCACTGCAACCTCCGTCTCCTGGGTTCAAGCAATTCTCCTGCTTTAGCCTCCCGAGTAGCTGGGATTACAGGCATGTGCCACCACACCTGGCTAATATTTTGTATTTTTAGTAGAGACGAGGTTTCACTGTGTTAGCCAGGATGGTCTTGATCTCCTGACCTTGTGATCTGATCGCCTCGGCCTCCCAAAGTGCTGGGATTGCAGGCATGAGCCACTGCACCTGGCTGCAATGGTATTTAATTCTATTATAGAATAAAATACAGTGGTATTTTATTCTAGTATATAATTGTATAATTATATGTATTATATGATTCCATTCTAGCATGCAAGCCAGGGCCAGCAGCACTGGTCCGGGTAGTCTGTAAGGCCTTTTCAGGTGGCATAGTCGGACCGGCGGGGGTCAGGGGGTACCTCAGCACTGCGATGAACCTGTCCAGGTCTGGAACTGCCTTTGGGTACTGTTCCATGACTGAGGTGAGTGAGAAGCGTGGGGGGCCCCTGCTGAGGGGATAGGTGCACTCCCAGAATGCAGAACCTCTGTGTGGAGGGGCCTCTGCCCATCAAGTGCGGGGACTGCCCCTCAGCATCCCTGCCGGCCCCCAGCCTCTGCCCCAGCCTGTAGCCACAGAGAGTGTAGTAGTCTGCAAGGGCCACTGTTTAGCAATTCCAATTGTTCAAAAGTTCTTGAATGTGTCTCCTTGAAAAGAATTCCACCGACTGTTTCCCTTCTGTCCTCTGGAACCTCCCAGGAAGTCCCTCCCTTCCCCACATGGCTGCCTTGGGTGTTTCGAGACCATGAGGGTGCTGCGTGTGCTCCCCATCTTCTGCCCTCTCGCACATCTGACTTCCCGGCCCCACACATCCCTTGCCACTCCCTCTGCCTCTGGCCACACAGTGGAATCACTAGAGAGCTTCACAAAGACACGGATACCCGGGTGCCAGCCCCAGACCATTTTGTTTCATTTTGCTGGGGGCAGCCCAGGCCTGGGGTGGTTTTAAAGCTTGTCAGGTGATCCCAATGTGCGGCCAAGGTTGAGGACCCCTCCCTGGGGGCTCTGCAGAGGTCTGGTCCCACCTGGAGGGTGGCCTGAGCCAGCAGCCCCACCCCTGGCTCTCTCCACGATTTCCACCAATGCAGCTCCAGGCCACATCTCTGTGGGCAGCACCCTATCCTGTAACTCAGGCAGAGGCCCCCACTCTGTTACAGGCTTCAATGCAAAACAAAACAAAGTTCAAATGCAAGGACTTTAACTCTGTTAAATGTTTTACCCTTCGTTTCAGCATGTCTTCATGTCCAACAAGCTCTTTTATCAATGCTGGCTTTATCATGCGACAGAACAGACATGCTATGTAAATAGTTTAGCGTGCTTTCTGGGTCTTTGCTGAGATCACCAAGAAAAATGTTGAAGAGACAGGCCTGAGGCTGAAGGCCATGGCCCGCTCCTGGAGACCTTTTGCCAGGCTGGCGTGAGCGCTCTCCTCTCCCTCTCACAGTGTGGTCATCCAGCCTGCCCCGATTTCTCCAGAGCATACAAGTGCCTGGTCCACACGTCCTCGAGGCAACAAGTGATGCATTGCCAGATGCCTGGCTGGAATCAAGGTGTGCTGCCTTCACTAAACATTCTGCTTAGTTTTCAGTGTTCACGAACCATCTGCTCTAACATTCCAGGTGCTGCAGGACGTCAGTCTCAAGGTCATCGGTTCCTGAGACGGGAGCCTTACTGAAAAATTATAGCACGTGAGATCCAGAAGGTTCCCAGAAATGGCGCCCAGCTGTTCTCCACATTTTGCAAATCAGAAAGTTGAGACCCAGAGAGGTGACTTACCCAGGGTCTCACACCCTGAACCGGTCCTCTGGCTTTGGTCCTTTGCTTTCCCAACCTCCCTACCACAACACAGAGGTCTGTGGGAAAGAGAAGCAGGGGACAGTGGCCTTGGCTGGCTTGGAAAGACTTCCAGTGCAGGGTCCTTAGAGACCATGGTGCCACCTACCCACATTGTCTGTGGGCCTGGAGTTCATCTGCAGCCTAACACACAGCTTTCAAGCTGTACCAGAAACTCCTAGTGTAGCTCAGGGCCACCAAGAGGAGCAGTGAGGGGAGGCTGTCATGCTAGGCTTGTCCCTGCCTGGAACAGCAGGGACACCTCCTATACTTCATGTACGGGGCTCTATGTGAGACTTCCATTGAAATGAGCATGCTGCTGCTTAAAATAGGCTCACAAATATCCAATCTGTCCATTTTACAGGTAAGGACACTAAGGGTTCAGAGAGGGAATGTGATTTCCCTGAGGTCACACAGCAGGAGGTGGAGCTATGTTTAGAAATCAGGCCCTGTAACTCCCAAGCAAGATTTCTTGCAGTAGCTGGGAGCTGGGAACATGATGACACCATCTTGGGGTGATATGTCCCCAGCCTTGAAGGTCTTGGAAGTGCCAGGCTGGGTAGGTAGGGGAGATAAATGCCTGGTGTCTGCTCGCTGAGAGGGAAACTATGACCCTGGGGAAGACACTGGTATGAGCCCTTTCTCAAGGCTTATGGCCCACCAGGGACTGAGCAATGTAGTGCCCAGCGTCGGCTGGCAGAGGGAGCTGTAACCCGAGGCTTGGCTGCTGCAGGGCTGGCTCAGTGGGTCGCAGAGGAGAAAACTGGGCAAGAGGTCCAGAGCCACCAAAAGCTGTTCCACAGCAACGGCGAAGGAACACAGAATGCACAGTGGGGGCTGTGAGCGGGCAGGAGGCGTGGCAGGCCTGCAGGTCCACTGCTCAACAACCTGACCTCCTCAACGTCAGACCTACACAGCCGCGGTCTACCGTGACCGTCGGCCCCGGGCATCTGTAGCCACATGCCCTGCCCTTGGCTCCGCTGCCTTTGCAGCTTCTACAGGTTCTGGAGGCCAGAGAGGTGGGGAAGAAATGGACAGAGTGGCCTAGGCCTGGTCAGTGTCCATGCAGAGCAGGCCCCTAGCACCTGGAGCAACAGGCTTCTGGAAACTTCAGCTGCCCTGTGCTGCTGAGTGTCCCTTCCCATTCCCAGTAGTGACTCCTCTGGGGTTCAGCACATGGGACAGAAGGCCTGCCCTGGGGAAGTGCAAAAGAGGGGCGAGGCTAATGCCACCTGGGCTCCCTGGCCCTGCAGGTGAGTGAGGATGAAGGGGAGAAGGCTGGTCTGGCCAAGGAACAACTACAGGTTTTTTTTATTTTTGAGATAATGTGCTTATGCAGAAATATAAAGATTATGCGTATGATTTATCGAACACCTGCTATCTGCTCAGCAATGAGCCAAGTGATTTATATGGATGTTGCTAATTCCCATCACGAGCCACCAGATGAGGTGTAACCAGCCCCATTTACAAATGAGTAACTGAGGGTCAGAGATGAAAGAACTGGCCCTAGGTCACACAGCTGTAGGTGGCAGAACCAAGATGGGTGTCCCTCCAGAGGCGACAGACCCTCCTCCCAGTGTGTCAGGCTGCAGCTGGGCTCCAGGCCCACAGACGATGTGGGTAGGTGGCTCCATGGTCTCCAAGGGCCCTGCACTGGAAGTTTCTCCAAGCCAGCCAAGGCCACTGTCCCCTGCTTCTCTTTCCCACAGACCTCTGTGTTGTGGTAGGGAGTCTGAAAAAGCAAAGGGCCAAAGCCAGGAGACCTGGGTGCCGGTTCAGGGTGTGGGGCCCTGGGTAAGTCACCTCTCTGGGTCTCAACTTTCTGATTTGTAAAATGTGGAGAACAGCTGGGCACCATGGCTCATGCCTGCAATCCCAGCACTTTGAGAGACCGAGCTGGGCATAGTTTGAGACCATCCTGGCCAACAGGGTGAAACGTCAGCCTCTACTAAGAATACAAAATTAGCTGGCGTGGTGGTACACACCTATAATCCCAGCTACTCGGGAGGCTGAGGCAGGATAATTACTTGAACTTGGGAGGCAGAGGTTGCAGTGAGCTGAGATTATATCACCATATTCCAGCCTAGGCAACAGTGTAAGACTCTGTCTCAAAAAAAAAAAAAAAAAAAAAAAAAAAGCAAAGAACACTACTCCTTGTCTGGCCTGCATCTCAGGTTGTTGTGTGGACCCAATGAGAGGAAGAATTAGAAATCCTCTGAAGTCTACAGAAAACTGGAGAAAGACAGCTTCCATTTGTGGAGGTCCTCCTACCTGCCAGGTGCTTCGTAAGTGGGTCATGGGCGTCGCCTTGTTTTCAGACCTTAAGAGCTGGGGAAATGGTCCACATTATGCAGATGAAGAAGTCAGTGGACAGGGAAGTTAAGTAGCTCAGAGTTACATAGGAGCAGAGCCAGGGCTGGACCCAGGCCTTCTGAGGCCAAAGCCTCTGCTCCTCCCCTTCTCTAGACGGTGCCCAGCCCTGGAGTGGGAGGGGCTGTGCAGGACAGCAAGACTCTAGGACAGCCCACACTCAGCTCCTGCTGAGCGGAAGCAGGAGTGCCCTTGAGGTGGGGACTGCAGGGGCCCTTGCTGCTGAGGAGTCCCTCCTGGCTCCCCTCCTTCGGATTCTTGACTAGCGCAACCTGACAGAGTCACCCTGATTTCCTTTGGAGGCAGCCAGTAGGGAGAGTACAGGGAGAAATGGGAGCCAAAGACATTGCTCATCCTCAGGGAGACAGCTGGATGAGTGCATGTGCACACACACACACAGAGTCACTGTCTTGGACACCAAAATCCATGGGTGCTCAAGTTCCTGACATAAAATGGTACAATATTTGCACATAACCTATGCACATCCTCCCATATATTATACTTTAGCTCATCTTTAGTCTACTTATAATACCTCATACAGTATAAATGCTATGTAAATAGCTGGTACATTGCATTGCTCAGGGAATGATGACAAGGTTGTTCAGTGTAGACAAATGCAGTCGTCCATTTTTGGGGGATATTTTTTTATCTACAGTTGGTTGAATTCACGATGCAGAACCCATGGACCTGGAGGACTGACTACATACACACAAACACACATGCACACACACAAAGGAACAAATGCAGATACGTGCACACACACACATGCACAAGCACCCTGAACACATATATGTGCATACAACCCCAACCACATGGACCCAGATGCATGCAGACACATGTGGCACAGATGGCTTACACACTCACCCCTGCGTGCACACGGGGTGCATGCACATGCCTGAGCCCACACTCACACTCCTCCCAGGTCCCTGTTCCTGACAAGTTCATGTTGTCCCCAGGTATCTTCCTTCATGTTCCCTGGGGGAGAGACTGACCGTGGGATTCAGCCTTAGTTGCAGAGGGAAGGGGAGAGAAGAGAGCAGGGTAGGGCACAGGTGTGCAAAGGGTCAGCTAGCTCAGCCCAGGCAGTTACTGAAGACCTCTGTCAATGGGAGAGGGGTTCCAAGCCCTTCCACCCCGCCAGTCCCTGCACTGCAACTCACCTGCAGGCAGGCCACCCCGATGCCCACCGCCCCCATGAGCAGCAGGTGGTCGGCCAGGAACTGCTCCAGCTTGGTGAGGCAGCCTCCCTGTAAGAGATGGGCAGGTGACGTGGCCATGGGCCAGGAGCGAGGATGGGCAGGGAGGAAGGGTGGGCTGTCACTGCAGCAGAGGCTGAGGACAAGCCAGAGGACTCATGGGCTGGACCCAACCCTGAATTGGTCAGAGGCTACTTGAATGGCCTCAGGGGCATGCTGTGGTGTCCTAGACTCTCCAGTATGAGTTGCTTGTCCCAGGACTTTGTAGAGACCCTGGAAAGCTCCAGGCACTGTGGGCTTATGGCCAAGGAGCAGGTATGTCCTGCTTTTCCCATACCCATCTGCCTTTTGGGGGCTCCTGAACGGCCAGGCTGGGGCCCTCTCATCACCCCCAGCTTGAGCTTGGATGCTCACCTCCACCTTATAGATGTTGGAGGGGTGGGCCCGCCGGCCGCAGCGCACCACCACTGTCTTGCAGCAGCTGTCGGGCACCCAGCGGCCCTCGGCCTCCCGCGACAGGATGTATGTGCTGCGCTGCCAGTCGGCTGAGCTGGTGCTTCCGCAGCACTTGAACTGGAGGCAGAGGCAGAGGCTGGAGGTGAGAGGCCTGTGTAGGGTTCCAGGGCCGCAGGACACATTATTCAATACTAACCCGACCCCTGTTTGTCTGCCTGAACCATGGTTAGTATTTGTATCATGTGTTTTCCCTTCCCTTGCTTTGAGCAGAGAGCTGGTCACTCTAACACTCTTAGACTCAGTGCTAACTGCTTGCAGGACACCTGCTTGCCAGGTTTTTTTTTTTTTGTTTTTTTTTGTTTTTTTTTTTTTTTTCTGACTCATAGTCTCACTTTGTCACCCAAGCTGGAGTGCAGTGGTGCAATCTCAGCTCATTGCAACCTCCACCTCCTGGATTCAAGCGATTCTCCTGCCTCAGCCTCCCAAGTAGCTGGGATTACAGGCACACGCCACCACACCTGGCTAATTTTTGTATTTTTAGTAGAGACAGGGTTTCACCATGTTAACCAGGATGGTCTCAATCTGTGGACCTCGTGATCCGCCTGCCTTGGCCTCCCAAAGTGCTGGGATTACAGGTGTGAGTCTTTTTAGCCACACAAGTCCTTTAATGCCGGGTGACTTGGTGGCAGAGCAGGTCTGCAAGGTGAGTCCCCAGAGAGTGAGGCTGTGTACCACAGGGTGACAGAGCCCAGGGTGTGGGCAAAACCACAAGGTGGGGGAGTTTCCTGGCCACCCAGGAGTCAGGACACAGGGACAAGGATCCAGCCTGGCTAGAGGCTCCCGGCTCCCATTCAGGCTTTGACGTCTCAGAACCCCAGCCAGCCCACGGCACTGGCAGACCAGGGTCAGTCAGAGGGGCTGTCGTGAGTGCTAAGACCTGGGGCCGTCTGCACCACTCCAGGGCAGGGACGTGCCAGCCCAGTTGTAAAATGATTCCAAGACAGTGGACACCGGTTACTTCTTGCCTTTCCCAGTTGCAGCACTGAGATTCAAAGCCCCTGCACAGGACAGAACAGGCTGCTGTGAGGCTATCGCTGGTGTGTGTCTGGAGATGGGAGGGGTGGAGGTATGTTTAGATCAACTCACAAGAGGTTGCTGGGCAGCTGCTATGTGCCTGGAGTGAAGAACCCCGAGTAAGGCATGGGGCCTAGTCTCGGGTAGCTCAGCATCCACTGTCATGCAGTAGGAGGTAATAGAAGCTTATGTGTGGCACAGAGGAGGAAGGGGTTAGTGCTCTGTCCAGGGCCAGGAGAGAGCCACAGGGTGAACAGGGGCCCCAGGAATTGAGGAGAGTCTGACGGCCACACAGACAGCGCGGAGACAGGCACAGCGTGCACAAGGAGTCACGGGGGAACTGCGCATTCCACGTGACTCTGCCCGTCTGTGCTGGTTTCGCCGGATGGCTGTGTCATTTGTAAAGTGCAGACAACAAAAGTACCCCCATGCCAGGCTGTTGTGAGGACTGAAAGAGGTGACTCACATAAAGCACTTAGAAGAGAGCCTGCCGCCAAGTCAGTGGTGAAGGAGAGACGCTTACTTCCACCATCACTATTGTGTGAATACAGCATCGTGTGTCTGTCATTTACATCCACGTGGCGCTGCTGGAGGGCCCAGTGCTGGCCCTGGCTCTGCAGCCACTGCTTTCTCGGGGCTTGGTCTCCTGGCTGAGACGTGGCTTGGGGTTCTAAGTGTTCCTGGCCTATATGAGGGCGGTGTCTGCATGCACAGATGCCCTGCAGGTCTCCATCAGCGACCCAGCCTCCGCTCTTAGCTGTGCCTTTCCTCATCTGCCCCTAGCCCTGACCTGCTGCTCCCATCCTCTTCACTTAATCAAACCCCACCTCTGCTCCATGGGGGCCTCCCCACCTCCCCTGCTCTCTCTTCTGAGTGTGGTCCAGCCTTGCACTGACTGCTGTGTGTCCAGCTTCCCTGAGGGCAGGGATCCTGACCTGTTCCCTCTTTTTCTAGCACAGTTCCTCATAGGTGAGGCCCAGCGGGTGGAGTGCACACTTAGTTTGTACAGGGCTGACCAGCAGTGTGTGCTGCCTCATCTTGGTCCTGAGCTGAGCCCATGGGTGCAAGTGTGCCTGTGGGCATGCACTTGAGTGTATATGTGGGTCCCAGGCCACTATTTCAGAGAAGAGACTCCTCCGTGCAGCCCCCATTGGGAGCTGGGCCAGCGTCTTGGAGAGATGGGAGGGGCCCTGAGTCATGATGCCTCTGGGGCTCAGAGCTTGGTACTTCTACTTCCTCTACTTGCCTGACGTTCCCGGGGGGCAAGATCAAGGCCTCAGGTCTAGGGAGTGGGGGTGAGGAATAGGGTGGCAGAGAGAAGGGGGACCAGAGTGGGCAGGGGGCACTGCCTCGAATTATCTGACATGAACACTTCTGGATCCTGAGCAGCGCCGTCCAGGAGAACGTTCTGCAATGAAGGCGGCGTCCTACATCTGTCTGTGCTGTCCAATTGGAGCTCACTGGACACATGGGCTAACGAGCACTGGAAATGCGGTTGGTGTGACTGAGGAATTGAATGTTGTATTTAACCGAGCTGGAAACAGCCACATGTGGGTGGTGGTGGCTGCCGTATTGGACAGGACAGCTCTGAGGTCCATTTGCTCGTGTCCCCTGCGTCTGGTCAGGCCAGTGGGTGTCCCTGGACAGATTTGCTGCGACTCTTCTTGGAAAGGAGAAAAGCTTTCTGTCCCCCAGCATTCTGCCTGATGGTTTGCACTGGAAGGTTTTGGGGCAGCGTAACTGAAATTCTTCTGCTGGCTACAGCTCACTCTTATAGAACCGCAGCAGGCAGCTATCCGAGGAAGGAGGAAGGCAGCCCTACGGGTGGAAGCAGGCTGGGGAGGAGCTTCCTGGCCCAGATCTTGGCAGGAGATGGAGTTCTCCTGGCACAGACAGATTCTTGGCCAGGGAGGCCCCAGAGGCCCCAGAATGGGAAGGCAGAAGGGGTGGGATCTGGAGGAGGTCGTCGGGGAAGGAGAGGAACCGGGCTTCAGCAGGTACTTTTCATGTCGGGTGAGGACATCTACAGATGTGATCATATTTAATGCCCATATGCCCTAAAGAGGCTTCATTTTTAGGATGTGACATCTGAAGCTCAGAGAGGCTAAGTAACTTCCCTAGGGTCACACAGACGGGAAAGAACAGAGTCAGTGTTTGAACCCATGTGGGCCTGGCCTTCAAGGCCATGTGGGGCACGGCTTACATCCTGCTGGAGCCGGTCTACTGAGGCGGTGATCTGCGTGGCTCCCGGCTGCCCGTAGTTCTTGGTCAGAGTCTGGTTCAAGTGCTGCTTTAGTTCATCACTCAGCTGAGGAGGGAGGGAGTGAAGGCGCCATCAACGGGACCAGCCCCACCCTGCCCTGGCACCAGGCCCACTCCCAAGCCTCCCCAGCTAATTCTAGAATACTGTGGACTGCAGAGGATGCGATGATGCAGAGGTTTCTCAGCAGTGGAAGGGACCATCAGCCAGAGACAGTGCAGAAGACGGCCATGGAGAGGAGGTTGCAAAAACCGGGCCCCTACTTAGGGCAAAGGTGTAACGGACAGAGCTGAGAGGCTGGGGAGACGGCTCAGGTAAAGGGTCACATCCAGAAGCTGGTGGGTAGTGGCAGTGAGGCCAGACATAGGGTGCTTTAAAATGTCTGTTGATCTTAACTGTGATCATGAGGTGACACTGAAAATATTTACAGTTGGGCCGGGTGTGGTGACTCATGCCTGTAATCCCAGCACTTTGGGAGGCTGAGGCAGGTGGATCACCTGAGGGCAGGAGTTCGAGACCAGCCTGGCCAACATGGCAAACCCCGTCTCTACTGAAAAATACAAAAAATAGGTGGGCGTGGTGGCAGGCACCTACAATCCCAGCTACTCAGGAGGCTGAGGCAGGAGAATCACTTGAACCCGGGAGGCAGAGGTTTCAGTGAGCTGAGATTATGCCACTGCACTCCAGCCTGGGAGACAGAGCAAGACTCCATCTCAAAGGAAAAAAAAAAAAAATTATAACTTCAAGCACTGGCTTGAAAAACCAGCAGGGTTGCACTCTTTCTACCGGCCAAACATTACCCCAGTCGTGACCTCAAATCTCTGATTCAGAGGGCTCAAGTGGGGAGTGGATGGGACACACTCCATCCTTGTCCAAGCCAGGCAGGCAAGGCCTGATCCTGTTCAGGGTCTGGCATGTGATCCTGGCCCAGGCCTTTCTTCTTGGATGTCTCTGACAGATGGATTCATCCTCTAGACCATCCTTGGAAGGGGGGGAAGGATGAGCCAATGTCCCATGGGAAACTCCCATCCCCAGCTCCCACATGGAAGACATCAGCATCAACAGATGCAGCACAGAATTGCTGGAGCCGGGATGCAGGTGTGCGGGGGGATTGCCGGGGCCTGGGAAACAGGACCACCCCTGCGCCTGCCTCAGCTTCCCTCATCACAGTGCAAACCTCCCCACCCACACTGCTTCTTCAGGGCACTGACAGAGGATGCAGGAGGAGGAAATGTCACTTACCCTCTGGTAATACACGTGGGCCAAGACTCCCGCCACCAGTTCAACCAGGAAGATGACGAGCAACAGGCAGAAATACTAGGAGCAAGGAGAGAGGAGGGTCACCACTGGGATTGGGACGCTGCTATGACAGATGTTTCCCTACAGTGGTGGGGGCGGTAGAGATACCTGCTGGGACCCCTATCAAACATGCCATCTTCCTCCTGGCCGTACCAGCCTCACTGGCTGCTGGCACCAAGTTCCCCACTTACTCCTTCCCTCTTTGGTCAGCTGACAATTCAGTAATGCATCCATCCACCCAATAGGTATTAAATACCTGCTAGATGCCAGATGCCAGATGCCAGGTAGTGTAACTAAGACAACTAATACTCTCAACGTTATTGATGGTGGGAAGACAGATGAGTGATTGCAATGCTGTGTTACAAATGCAACTATGGGGTACGCTGTAGAAATGGTGGGAGGTTCCTGGTAGGGTGGGCAGTCAGAGAAGGCTTCCTGGAGGTGGTGACACCTAAGTAACATCTTTAAGGATTGAACAGGCATTTGCTAAGTGAAGGAGGGAAGCACATTCTAGGAAGAAGGGAGGACAAGTGAAAAGCCTGGAGTTTGCAGGAAGCATGGGGCATTTGCCTTCAGGGAGTGGAGAATGCCCATGTAGCTGGAGTGCAGGGACCAGGGTGGACTCTGGCAACCAAGCCTTAGGAAAAAGCAAATCAGAGGTCCAGGGAAGGCAGGTGATTCCTGTGTTGTCTTTCAGCCCCAATGCCCATTTCCCGTCCTTCATGCCCCTGCAGGGGTTCTCATTCCTGCTCCGCCACTCACAGCCTTGCTGCTGCTGCTGGCTTCCCAGCCCTGCACTCAAGTGTGACCTGTAGGAGGACATGGGCCCTGCTTCCTTCTCACTCCCCCACTGGCTTGCACAGTCAGGGAGGCTCCTGGGATCCTGGTCGACCAACTCTGCTTGCAGGAGCAACAGGTCTAGAAAGCACGTTGGGCCTCCCTCTCTCCCCACCCTGGAAGAGCAGGGATGAAGCCAGCTACAGGCAGCCACAGAGCTCCCAGACAGGGACAAGGGAAGAGAAGAGAGGGGGAGCACTGCTGATCGAAATTGGCCCCACTGCGGGGAAGCTCAGCCTGACTAATGAGCACCTCCGACCTGGGCTGCCCCAGGCACTGCCTGCCCACCCAGCCACAGCAGGGCAGCTACCCATGGTCCCTGAGATGGCTGGATTCTAGGGAAGACCCAGCCTGTGGGTGAGACTGAGACCCTAGGGCTCACTCAGCAGGCAAAGGAGTGTGGGCAGAAGGGATATGGTGGTGGGTGGTGGTGGTGCCCAGGACAGACGGGCTGCTGGGCATTTCAGGGGCAACCTTATTCATGGGCCCATGGGCCTCGCCCAACCATCTCCTGCACCACTCAGCAGCGAGCCTGGCATGGGCAGGGATTAAGGAATACAGGGGAGGGGCCATTTCTTTTCACAGGGAAAGAACTGTGCCTGAGAGCAAGGCTTCCTTTCAAAAGAAGTGAATTACCCCCCTCCTCATTACAATTTTGCTGTGTCCTATAATCTCCCAGAGTCAGGGACACAGGGAGACTTTCCAGTCTCAGAATAACAGCGTCAGGCCTAGCCCCATCATTTATGGGGCCTGGGCCAAGAGCACAAAAGCAAGGTCCCTGCCCCTTCCTTGCCTACCCCAGGCTCTTCGCTGCACCAAGGAAAACCTCCAGCCGAGAGCCCTGTCTGCCCCTCCCCAGGGTCAGATGCCTGTTGGCCAGGGGTGTGGAGAGGGCTGGGTGTGGTGCAGGCTAGGGGCACACATGCTAGGGGTCTAGTCAGCCTCAGGACATGCTTGCAGGTGCTGCATGCAGGCACAGGTCTTCTGGACAGAGGATTTAAGCTCCTGGGTCCCCGCTAGGAGGTCAGGAAGTGGGGAAGGGAGTTGCAGATTCCACAAGGGCACATTCCCTCCGCCCTATGGACTTTCCACTCCCTGGGGAGGAGTGTGGATGGAGGAGGGCCCCAGGCCAGGGCCCTGGGTCTGTGTGTGGTACTGAGTGGTATACAGGGTAAGCTGAGGCAGGAGACTGAAGAGAGGGTCTGTGGATGGTCCCTCTGCTTGAGGAGCCTCTGGGAAGCAGGGCCTGACACTGAGGAAGGCTGGGGGAAATGTCCGTGAACTTGGGTTGGGTCCAGTCTCCACCACATGCTGGCTCTAGCTGGGTGGCTGCTAATGCTTTGGTGCCAATTAGAAAAACGTGGCTCAGCAAGAGTTGCATGGGCTGGATTTCAGCCTTCTCTGGTCCCCTCGGGTAGGATGCAAACTTTAGGGCCAATGAGGACCCAACGAGAGGGGAAATGTGCTTTCCAGTGATCTGACCTGTCTCCTGCCTTCCCAGAGCTCCAGGTAACACAGCATGAGGGGTGTGGTCCTTGTCAGCCAGTGGCAGGCACAGCCAGCCCATGCCAGGTGTGGTCCCCTGTGAGCCGCTCAGCCCATCGGACAGAACATGGCTACACATTCACCCTGACCCCACCCAGAAGGCCCTCCCCTGCCACAAGCTGCTGGGCCCTGCAGCTCCTCTCTGACATGCATGCCCCTCCTGCCTGCTCCAAACTTCCCTCCACCACCCCCAACTATGGTGCTGAAGCCGACTCCCTCCCACTGCACAGGACCTAAAGGCACTGATGCTAGTTGCTCCCAGAGCCCACTGGGGCATGGGAAGAAGAGGTGATGGAGCGCCCCTAACTGACAGGAACACCCAGGCTGCTGGCAGCTAGGAGGGTCCATCCTGGCATTTCAACATCTTCCTTCTTTCCATCACCACCGTGGGCTGTGAGTCAGGCCCAGAGGATACTCCTGGATAGCTGGCAGTGTCATGCTGCTTCTTGGGGTAAGTCACTGCCCCAGTTGCTATTAAAGACAGGGTGGGGAACAGGGAGGATGGGGAGGCAGAGATACTGAACTTCGCCCGTTGGTTTAGTGGCTGGATAAGGCAGTACATGCTATTCCACAGGCCTGTTCGGAGGCATCAGACAGGCTCTCTGACTTGCTGGAGTGGTCAGGAGGAGGGGAAGGCGCTCGGCAGGGGCGGCGGTGTATGGGGATAGCCCTCTCCAGCTTCAGTGTGTAAAGATGCCTAGGAGGGGACTGAGGGCGGGCCTGGGGCTTCAAGGGCACTAAGGCTGGGTGCTGGTGGGCACAGGTGCTGGTTCCAGGCAGCAGCTTCTACAGCAGGGAGGCTGCAGGTGTGTGCCTCACCTGGGCAGGTGTGACGGACCCAGGAGGCGGTGAGACAGGCCCAGATCATCAAGATTCAGCTGGGGGAGGTCATGGGCTCTGACAAACCCCTCACCCCTGCCCTGACACTCTGCAGTTTACCCAGGCTTTCCTGACTCCCTGGGTCTGGCGGGATCATCTCAGGGCCCCTGCAGCCCACGCTGGCTCTGTGTGCAAAGCTGCGAAGTGTTCCTGGCGTTGCTGCACACAGTTCTCTTCACACAGGCTGAGCGTCCAGCCTTCAGGCCTTTGCCCTGCCTGTCCCTCTGCCTGGAATGCAGGGGCCTACCTGTCCTTCCATACCTGGCTCGGCTCAGACATGGCTCCACCAGGCCATCCTTGGGCGGGAGCACCTGCCACTCCCTGCCATCGGAATGCCTGCAGCGCGCGTCTGCTGTCTCCTGACACCTGCACTCTCTGCTTTGCGTCTTCTCTCCTCAGCTGGACTGGGCTTCACCTATGTGTCCCTCCCCTGCCTGCTGTGCGGTTCCTCAGTGCAGGTCATCACTGGACAAGAGACACAACTTTCCCCATCGCTCTGTAGCAGTACTTTTGCTACAGGTGTTACCACTCTGTCCCCTGGAACTATGAGCTTCGAGGGAATAGGGACCACATCTGAGGTTGCTTCTGGCTCCTCCACCGTGCCTGGTATGGTGCTGGGGTATACTTTCTAACTGAGTACACCTATGAGACAGCAGGGCCAGCTGGAGCATGCCAGCCCCATGCTGGGGACAGTAGCTTCATCTTTTTCTGATCTGAGTGTAGCACAGAACAATTACTATAGTTAAATTTGCACCAGTGGTCCTCAGCCTGGCACAATTTTGCACCCAGTGGGTATCTGGCAAAAGGAGTATCTAGAGGGTCGAGGCCTGGATGCTAAGCATCCTACTGGGTGCAGGGCAGTCTCCTGCAGTGAAGAATGATCTGGCCCAAAATGCCAGTAGTGCCGAGGTTGCAAAATCCTGGGTCGCACATTTACCTTCAGATTCTCAGGCTGATGCTGAGACTTGATTTGCTTATGTTTCACTCTTGTTGCCCAGGCTGGAGTGCAATGGCATGATCTCTGCTGCAACCTCCACCGGCTGAGTTCAAGCGATTCTCCTGCCTCAGTCTTCTGAGTAGCTGGGATTACAGGTGCCTGCCACCACCCTCGGTTAATTTTTTGTATTTTTAGTAGAGATGGGGTCACACCATGATGGCCAGGCTGGTCTTGAACTCCTGACCTCAGGTGATCTGCCTGCCTTGGCCTCCCAAAGTGCTGGAATTACAGGTGTGAGCCACTGCACCCATCCCCAAGAAATGTTACCTAGCTCCTGAGGAGCTGGAAACAAACATGGATAGACTTGCATAGCGCTGTACCTGCCTGGGAGGGCAGGAGGCAGGAGGCTGCTGGCCTCGACACAAGGAGGGATCAGGGAAGCCTATATTGCTTCAGCTCACATCCCCATGGGACCCAGGAGCTGGAATTCCATGAGACCAGGCATATCCCAAGAGTTCTGAATGCTTCCTTAGGGACCATCTGTTTTCTGAAGCAGCTGTGGATTCTTCCAGTTGCCTCAATGAGCTGATGAGGGGTGTGATGCCATAAGGTTTGTGTAAGGGGTTGACTCTAGGAAGCATGAAGAAGGTTCTGGAAATACTCTTTGCTGTCTTTAAGTTGGGTTTGGTCTTTTTTGAATTAGTATACAAAACTCAATAATAAGAAATTCTCAGATAGCCCATATATCCATGTAGTTAAAATTCACTGGACCTCATGCTGTCCTGTTTTCCCAGCTCACTGTGCCAGGGAGGGCCCACAC